TATATGAGAACATCTCCGCGGAGTTTAATCAGTAACTGAAGAAACGCCTGCCAAGTGGCAAACCACAGTGAATTTGGTTGTACTATTTGTGGTGTTTGGCAATGGGCCTAAATGTCTCTGATGATTCAGTGAACTAGAGACGGCCTTTCAAATTTACAGGGTGGAAACCAAACAGTTACCGATCCATTTGTTCACAATGTGTCCCACGCGTCTAGTCTGGGCCCGTGGCGACGATTTTTCACCGCTTTCTTCACTAACGTCGTGTTCAATAACAGCCCGCCGTTTATTACTAAAACGAGCGTAATGTTTCAGGCATTGTTGTTGAAAACTGGCACTGAGCGCTCAAGGCATTTGGACTCTGGTGACTAATCTCCAAGCAAGCTTGGGCTTGTTTGTAGGTCTTTCTAGTTGTGCGCGTACGCGTTTTTTCTCTGTTCCTCTCTGCAGATGTACTGCACCTGCTAGTGGAGACTAAATCGGTGACGACAGACAGCTAGTAAAGACAGATATGTCGTACATCTCTAGTCGTGGCGACAACTAGACTGAAATCCCCATATTCCGCCACTTTCTTACCCTCCATCACTGACAATGACAAATGCCCAATCAACCTTTCGTCGAACGTTGTCACTAATGAGTAGCTAGATCAACGTCCGATAAAAATAATTCAGACTGGGTTATTGTTTTCAGTCCTGTCGATAGAAATAAATCATTCGATGACAAGTCCCTGCTCGTGATCGTTTTCCAAGACGCATGACCGTCAAGGGAACGTGTCTTAGATGTTTTACAAGACGACTTGTAGAAGTTGGGCCAATCCGGAAGACCTCTTATCGCTTTGTGAGTCTCTGAGCGCCTGTACCGAGGGTCCCGTCACGTCTGACACCTGCTCAACAGTTTGGCTCCCCGCTTTTTCCCTGTGCCACATAGCGAGCAGTGAATCCCGGAAGCCTGATAGATTATTTTTGAGCTCAGTCCTCTTCCGAAGTGTCACTGGTCAGTACACCTCTCACCCTACACCCATTCGTCAACGTTAACTTGCCACAGCACTGACTATTTGACTTTTCAAGTTTGTTTTTTTGTCAGTTTAGTCAGCAGATGTGGTCCACATAAGGATTAGAATCTTCCACTGATCTCTCAAGTGTTTCTCAGTATGTAATCCTTGGGTAAATAAATAACTGGATATTTTCTTTAGCCAAACAAAATCATGTGTGCTTGCAGAAGAGATTAGTTTTCTCCCATGTGTGGTAGGATGCAGACTGCAGGGGATCGTGGGGTCCAAGGTGGGGGGGGGGGGTAGATCATCTGGTTTCTTCTTCTTCCTCTTCTCGGGGCCAAACAGTGATTGGCATCAGATCAACCTTGGCAAGGGAAATCAAAGCTTTAACTATTTTGATTTATAATATGCAGGGATCGAAATTCATTTTTTTGATTAGGTGCACTGGTGCACCTAACCAAAAAAATTAGGTGCACCAAAAAAAATTTGGGTGCACCACATATTTCCAGTAGTAGATTAATAAGTTAAATATTATTAATATCAAATTAATATTCCACACGTAAAGAATGCTAAAAATGATCGTAGCAAGAGTGGAAATTGCATCGCTATGGAAATAACACAGTAATGATCTTACCGAAAAAGGGCAAATTAGGATGCCGAGATCGAAAAAAAAAATTATAAAAAAAATCTAGAAATGAAAAAAAATCACACAAAGCCTCAATCTTTTTGCACTTGACTTCTCGGTTGATTCGGTTTCGGACTCCGACTCTGATGACCCGGAACTGGACAGTCGGAAGGAGCTCGGGAGGCCGTGGAGGAGGGCCCGGGAATGTTGTCGAGAGCACATGGCCGCCCCCTCCCCCTCTGTCTCGGCGCTCCCACGGCACGGTCTGTCCACTTCTCGCTCGTCCGGGCGTGTTTCCCGTTGGTTTCCAGCTTCATCGCTTCCTTCGGGGTTCTGAAGAGCTTGGGCTGATGTTGCCACATCTCGTCGTCATCACGATCGGACCTCGGCTGAAGGAACCGTAGAAGCGAAGTCTGTCTCGACATATTTGTTTTGCTTTGTCATCCACGAATTTCATGGCCGAATTTTGTCGACACCCGGGTTTTGACGATGTGACCTCGAAGATTATCGAAGTCAAGCGAAAACTGCACGAAAACAACACTTTGTCACATGACATGCCCCCGAGGTAACTCCCAAAAGACGTCGGAAAGTTCCGGAAGCGAGTTCGCGATGTTTTGGTCACATGACTATCAAGAAACCGGGGAACGAGAGGGAAGAGAGATCATGTCCAGTGTTGTAGTCGGGATCCGGAAGTTGGTGGGTAACGCGAAGTCGGCACTGCGCCGACACATAATTTTTCGGGCTTTAAAAACTGAAGTAAATCTAATTCTATCTCAAGAATTTCAAACAAGCAGTGCATCAAAGGTTTTTTATTATTTTATTCCATCAAAGCAATGTTGGAATTACAGTGTTTTGTACCTTTACCGTACTAATACTACAAAAATATTTAGGTGCACCGGTGCACCCACAGTCAAAAATTGGGTGCACCGATCCAGATTTGGGTGCACTAAGGTGCACATGCACCCATTATTTCGATCCCTGATATGTTACAGAATAAAACAAAGAAAATCGACTTTTCATGCCAATTTGATAGTAGCCTGGTAGCTTTGAACAAAACAATAACCATGACCACTTTTGCTGTATTCTTATCATATCGGTGCATAGTTTCTGGTTTGCGTTTAGATGTAATCAATACATCAAACATGACGCGGAAAGTCTCAAAGGTAGGAGCCGCCATGTTCTTGGACGATAGAATATTTACCTGCAATGTATTCATTTTAACAAAGACTGTCAAATTCACTACACATACCTCTAGCATCGTGAAGGGAAACACTCTAAGCTTGCTGGAATATGTTGGCTTTCTAGGTTCAACTCCAAATCACCACCCACCGGGTTGAAAACATGTTTGAAATGTTATGAAGAGCGTTAATCAGAGAGCGAACAAAGTGGTTAGCGGCGTGAGTTGCAGCGTTCCCCGGCTGCCTGTCGCCGCCGTGAGCCGGGTGTCGCGAACAGAAACCAGCGGCAGCTACACGTCACACATGGGGAGAGATGGTGATGATAAGGACTCATTAGCTACATTATGGTATGGCGTCGTTCAATGTTGCTGTATGTAGCCGCTATATCAACGTTGAAGTCTAGCTAATGAGAACTCTTGATACATTCCGCTCAGCTTGCAAGCAGATGTTGTGAGGGGCCATTTCCCCAGTTTTACACGACCCTGTGTTAGGAGTAGGAGTCAGTCTAGAGTGAGATCTCGTCTTGTGCAGTTCTCTGACAGCTCGGTTCACCCCGCTAGCCTCGGCTACCCTACACCTGTACCTCTACAAATCGTGACACGTTCCACTTTTGACGGTTCTCACAGAGTAGGCCGAGCCTGCACAACTTTAACTGAGCGGTTTGAAATAGGTTTTCTATTTTTGGTAGAAACTGTATGTCTGTCCAAAAAGCTTAGCGTCAGAAAACTTCAATCATTTTCTATAGAGATGTTACGTACATGCCGTATGCGTAACACGTTTGTGCTATATTTTGGGAAGAGCAGAATAACAACGGAGCAATTTTTGCGTACTAGGCCGACGAAACTTTTTTTCTACGTCCCCTCTTCCATTTAATTTCAATTCACATACACAAACATGTATCTACCCTAATGTTTACTGGGTATGCATCGCGTCTTTGATCGAATTGAGCTGATGGTGACTGGATCAGTGCGCATGTCTGAGTAGACGTTCTGTCCCAGGTCTCAGACGACCTCACACCCCCGGTCCTCCACAGGACTCTCACCGCTGGCTGTCCTCCAGACCCGCCGGGAAGTGGTCTTGTATGTACCGTGCCGGGTGATACCGACTCCCGCCACCACGCACTGTGTCCTAACGTTAGGTCTAGCCAGGTAAGGAAACTTGCAATTTGTCTGTCTGCGTATCCTGGCAATTATAGACCTCTCCGGGATGTCCCGGGCTGTGTTCGGCAGGCCTGCGTAGCTGGGATGACTCAGGCTGCGGTCGGGATAGACCACAAGGACGGGACGGAAAATTCCCCTGTCATTCAACAACTCCAGTCTCCGTATAGATACTGGGAGGTAAGATCGCAACGTCCTCAAATGTCCCGTTCATTCAACAATTAAAGAGGGTCGCCGGTCTTAAAAAAGGCCAACCAGAGAACGCTACGTATTTCCTCCCAGTATCTACTTGAAAGATCAAGCTAAGTTCGTTCATAAATTATATGCGTACATGATGCATTTATTGCTAATGGCGAGTGGCTCTTTTTAGTCATCAAATTGTTCTCATGTGCATATCTTAAACCACCGTGGAAATTTTCCCCAATTTAAGTACTGCCTACACTCAGGTATTACTAATAAACAAATTACGTATGTCTATGATCAGGATTATGCCTATGTTTGGCAAATTTTTAAAAGGAAATCCGAGGATACGGGTTCTCATATCTGCATTGTCGATAAAACAGTGACTCAAATCATCCGTCTGGCCCTGGGGGCAGCCGTGTTAACCCACACAACCTCCGCGGTTGTCTACTTTAGCTTGCTAGGGACACTCCGTACAATGCAGGGATAGATCCTGCGGTCAGCGGACTACAGTCCGTGGCGGGAAGTTAAGGAGACGGACCGTCTACTTCTTAAGGGCGCACGGCCAGGTGTGATAGCATCTTTCTGGACCATTTCGGTCCCCGCAAATAAACTCCAGAAAACAAGGCCTTGAGATGATATCTCACCGCACACAGGTGAAAAACAAATCATTCACCGAGACAGTCATTTCCGTAGAGACAAAATGTCTTTTTTTTTCATGTTTTTGTTATAAAATCGATATGATAAGTATGAAAGAGGATATGGTCTGTTACTATTTCAGAAGTATACAAGCCTGGTTCCATCTTAGGTCTGCGACAAGTATTACTAGAACCAACTAGAGGTTCCCTGTACTTTAAAGAAAATAACGAAAGACGTCACCAGTGAATCGAACGGTGCAAACCTCGGAGTGTTCTCTGCTGTTGTCAACAGTCTGTAGAGGTTTTCATCGGCCTTTAAGAGAGGAAATTACCGTCGAAAATTATCGGGCATAGAAACACGTGTCATTTCCCAAGAGTTCAGAGTCGACACGCTACCGTCACGTCGGAGAAAGTCCGAGTATTCTCCGCATCTCTTCTGTGTCAACAACGGGTTGTTTTGTTGATGGACACTTGTTTGTGTTTCTCTGATGTTTTGTCTCTTTGTGTTGATGCATGTCTGTGTTGTCCATACATTTCTGACAAGAATTTGACCTTCCCTGCCTTTCGAATGTAGAGCGGGCCTGCTCTCCGACTGTTACTTACATGTACTACAAGACGTCTCAGAACACTGACAGTTTCTTGTGAGACTTCCTGGCACCTTGTTCTTGCTGTAGTTCCTTCTCCCTCGCCCTCAGCCTCTCTAACTGGTGTTCCGTGGCGGAGATTTTAGCCTGAAACTGCGCTGCGGCCGTGGCGTCCCTGTGACAAGACAGAGAAGACAGAGTTATTTTTTCTTTATTCCAACAAGTGAGAAGTGAGGAAAGTCGTGTGAAGTGCCTTTCCCAATGGTACAAGACAAGGCATGGCATGGCATGGTTCGAACCCGGGACCTCTTGGTTCTGAGACGAACACTCGCCACACGACCCCGCCTAACTTGAGTTAATTGTTGTGAAGAATGCGGTGGAAACGACTCCTTGGTATGTCAGTGGCGCGGGGAATGCTTCTGAAGTGGTTTACCTGTCTAGAAGAAAATCGCTTTACATGGTCCGAAAAACGGGGAAGGTGTTCATTTCAAGGGCACTAAGAGGGTAGTTGTTCAGTTCAAGAGACAAAACAGGACTAAGCCACTCTTATCTCTCTACTACAAACTCGACGTGAGAAACGGCGCCCTTAACCTCATCTAGTCAGTATTGATGGCCGAAGGACCGTATAATTTATCCCTGACCATGTTGATACAAGGGCACTGTACAGCGGACCACCCGTTAGCATGCCCTATCCATCTCTTGCTATGGACAATCCAGCTGAGAAGAGTAACTTTTTCTAATCCCTGTCAGCTTACATTTCATTAACTGATTTCCTGAGGCCACAATCTTGTTACATATTTTCTTTCATCACGAAATTCTTGACCACCTGTTAAAGTGTTTTAGCGGAATACCATTAGGAGTGCTTTGCCTCTTGAATACTGGAGGTTGATGACAGAGAATGGAAGCGATGGCTTTGTGTAATTACGAGTATCAACATCGATGTTTATTTCTCGGTCAGGGTAGAGGGCGTTCTCCTATTGTTATCTTGAAGCCTTTTAGTCAAAGCATCCCCAGACCACCCGTGATCGTCTCTGGTGCACGATTTTCACCACTGCCTAACGCCACAGAGCAACAGTGCAACACAAGATGCCGTACTAAGTGTCTAACCTCTTATCATGGACACACGAGAAACACAATCTCTACCACTACGAGCTAATTAACTTCGCGAAACCAAGTCTGTGTAAGACTTTACAAGTGGGACAGAGTTAATGTGGCCACGGTAGACACAACAACACGCTCGTCAACGCCCTGACCCGGTTTTTAACCAGCGGGGTGTGAGGACCCTGCCTTCTGAAGGAGCGGAACATTTAACAGTCACAACAGGTGACCTGCCGTCTCCATGCCGATGTTGGGAGGAAAGATCGTGACGTTTTCTGTTATGACAGCGTGTCAGACAAACAGGATTACACTAATTTGTAGGAAAACGCTGCGATCGTACCTCCTGACACCTGTTTGTAGACTAGAGAGCTTCATGACTTTGGCATTCAAATCAGGGAGGGTCACAGTGAATGTCTCTCCGGCGTTTGGAAAGAAATATATTGTAATGTGTTTACATCTATTGTGCAACAAATTGAAGAATTTGGTTGTCTGTCTTATTCTTTTTTTGTGGGGGTGTGGGCGACTTTTCCAAGGACTGAGGAGGAGGCATGAGTTGTCATAATGATATTTTCCCGATAAAATTGCACCGACCAAAAAATTGCCACTATAGCTTCGACGCTTTCGCACCTTCCTTGGATACTAGCGTCCTGCAAGAAAGTGACTAGAAATAGCTAGATTGGTTCAACGTCTGTGTCTACGCCCATAAGAACAGACCAACTCCCTGTCGACCCGCCGTGGTGCCGTTGCGCTGCCCTGAAGTGTATGTGTACGTGTATGTGTTGTACCGAGCCGTGGCGCTGCCCTGAAGTGTATGTGTACGTGTATGTGTTGTACGGAGCCATGGCGCTGCCCTAAGGTGTGTGTACATGTTGTAGTGCTATATTTTGTACACACACAGGGCCGACCCCGTGGCGGCTCGGGGTGGCTGGCTTTTCCTGACAACATCCTGACGGGTCTGTCATTGTGCTTACATATTGAATTATACACGAAACGTTAAAGCTGTGGAGGGAAACGCTTTCGTGACATCCAACCATTAATTTGACAAAGCATTGACAGACATCCAGCACATATTGCCAAGAATAACATAAATGGACCTTTCTGCCATCATATTGTGGATCTGGGTATTCTTACATATACGCTACTAGCCTACTACCTACTGAAGAGTCAGAATACAAGGGGCTAATAAGCATCACCTAAATATCATCATTTTATGGTACTATCAACACACAAACGGTAGTTCTCATTAACCCTCAGCCTGCTATGGTAGCCAAATCTGTATTGGGTTAAGGTTTAGACAGCAGGTAGCAGTTTCCCATTGTAAGAGTTTCTGATGAGACTCTCCGGACAGAGATCGCTCAGCGATTGTTGAGCGACTGGAATTCGATTTGTGTGACCCTTAACTACGGTCAATGACCGGGACCAGACGTCTGTCACCATGGTAACAAGTTGGGTTACATCATTTTGGTCGCTGAGCGATCGCTCATCGGTCACAGCCTCCAGTGGAAACTGGAGTGTAAAGGAGCCCAAGTCCCTGTTCTACATCTCCGCCTACTCAGTCTCGAGTCTTCAGTCTCTCCATGTTCATCACTAAGGACCGCTAAGCTTTAAATTCCTGTGCTGAATCCCACCTGAGCCGTGATTGCCCAACGTACCCACCGGGCGGTCCGAACAAAATTGGGGCTTGCCCTAAAACGGCAGCCGTGGCCTTACCGTCCCAGACACTCCCGTCTGTATTACGTTCAACCGCAGGGCTCGAAACTAACTTTTCTTCCTATTGTCCCAGCACTGTCCCAAAAATAAAATTCAATTGTCCCGAAGTGTTCCCAACCTGTTTTGTTGGGAAGTATGCTGTGACTTCAACTTGAAGTCAACTTTATTTTGCTTATATTCACTCCCAGGCGCACTATAACTGCAGAATAGACAGGAAATTCGGGGGGACTTTTCCGGATCTAAAAGCCCGGACATGTGCCTGATAAACAAAAGAAGGGCTGACATTTTGATGTTGATTATTTTTCTATTGTCCCAAAAATGTCCCAAAGTGTCTTTTCAGTTGTCCCATTTTAGTGGTCAGTGGCAATTGGACCACCTTTAATTTCGAGGCCTGCAGCCGGTCGCTTTTCCACAGGATGTTTTTGCAGAGGGGTATGAAATGTGATCCGCTGTATTACCTTCACTTCTTAGGGCCTTATCTTAATTGCCGGAGTAACTGAAGGTCAACCCCCCTCTGGATGTGTACAGCATGTCTTCAATTACTGCCATATTTCAAAACATGACGACTACATGTGTGCTTTGTCATAAGCGATAGATTTCAGTATATCCGTATGCTTTCTTGTGTTATGCTGTAAGAATGGAAAATGAATCGTATATAACATCAAAGCTTTACATTCGAAGGGGGTCGGTTCAAGGGTATCAAAGCAAACAAACGAACAAACAAAGAGTGCAGAAAGCATACAACAAGTATTCATAATATGTTAATTTTTTTTCCAAGCGACATTCTGGCAACCATCCTCTCTATGACATTGATGGCAAGTTTTCAACCAACCATTCTGACTGCCTCGTTTCTTCTTGACCTAATTTGCGCAAATAGACAAAAGCATCCACACAGACGAAGAGAAAGCAATGTAAAATGTAGGTCAGACAACCGTGCTATAAAATTCAGAGTTCACTGAACTTTTAAGTTATAAACATCTCGCTCTTTGTCGCTTTGACGTTGGCCAGCCCCCCCACCCCCACAAAGATCCCGGAACAACCCAAGACGACATTGTTTTCCCAAGTCGTGCTTAAAACACACGCCCAACACGATTTATTACACACAACCCACTTCACGTAAGCTCTCAGATAGTGTTTACAACTGGTTCTCTTCTAGTCTAGTTGGCCACACGGTGCCGTAACTCGTGCCAAGTTCTGTTCGCCGCTCCGGGCTGTGTAGAAGCCAGAGCTTCGCTCCTACCATTCCACCAGCGCGTTCACCCAGGTAATACCCCGTCAAACCCACGCTCGGGCGTCATGCAGGGAAAACTGGGCTTTCTCATGTCAGAAGTGGGCCTTACAGAAACTCTCGTGCTGCGGAAGGGGGAGAGACGGACATGTCTGGGGCTAACTCGGTATTGTGAGCGGGATTTGTCCCTTCGCCCACGCCGCTAGCCTCTACCAGGCTCCGGAAGTGGTAGATACCATATAGCCTCCTTCGCAGACTTCTGAGGGGGTGGCGTTAATTTTTTTTCAGTGGCGAAACCGTCTCTACCCGACAAAGGCAACGTCCATCCGCGGCATAACTCGCGTCGCTCCCAAGAAAAAATTTAACGCCTCAGAAGTCTAGATCTGCGAAGGAGGCTACAGAAGCGGACGGAAAGAGCAAAAATTGACCAAAATAGACAAATAACAACCCACATGATATTCGTCTTTTTGGCCAGTTTCTACTCTTTATTGCTTCTGAAGTCTCGTAGAAGCTACATGTAGCACGTCACAAGAGTCTGGTCTAACAGGGTCTTTTGACATTTCTGACGTCACCGTTTCCAGATGGATGGCGCAGGTGCATGTGAAAGGTCAATGACCTGGAGTAACCGCGGCGCGGCCCGTTCCTGCAGATCGTCCCGCTGCGTCTTAGAAAATTGAACTTTAAGTATTTATAGTCATCTCAAGCCGTCTCATGACCCCCACTGGGCAGAAAATGGGTTATCATAGCAGAGAAGTCCAATGTCTGATTACGGTATTATCAACACCAGATGATTTACTCTGTCTACCTTCATAAATCACACGGAATATGGTTCAGAAAAGACCACCTGCTGGTATTCCTATGTTGTTCACGACTATAAAACTGTTAGGACTAAACAGTAAATTTAAACTTAAAGAATACAAAACTGTTTTGTAGCCCAGACATGGAACATTGACCAATGCGATTTATGAAGAAAAAAAACCTGCTATGCCTACATTTATCGGTTGACCGTTAGCACTAAGCTAAACTAAACCAAACTAAATCCTGAAAGCTGTTTTAGTTGTCCTAACACAGAGAAAATGCCGTAGAAATAGACACTAGCTACACATGCCACGATTGAATAGCAACACTGGATTAGGCCTTGAGGTTGTAAGAAGTCAAAGAAATATTCGAAGGGACCTGAAGATTGTTGTAAGATGAAGACTTAAGAGGAATGGGGTCTAAACCGGTTTGAGAACTGTTATGCATCCAAGTATGAAAACCTCTCCGTTCGGGCCATTTCCTCCTTTCTGCACTCCGTTCTGGAGAAAGTGTTTTAAAGAGAAGACAGGAACGTGGCTGTCACCAAGGCCGTCCATCATACTGTCATCAGCCTGCAGTGTCGCCGGGTTATCACTCACCACTCCGCACATGGCCCCGCGTTATCCGGACCAGTTGTACCGGGGTGGTGAACGCACGTCTCATGGTTGTACACAAGTCGTACTTGTACACATGACCGAGTACAGGGGAAAGTACACGTAACCTCAGGCCTCGAAATTAACTTTTCTTCCTATTGTCCAAGCACTGTCCCAAAAATACATGTCAATTGTCCCGAAGTGAGGATGAACTGTCCCAACCTGTTTTTGGGAAGTATTGTATGACTTCAACTTGAATTCAACTTCATTTTGCTTATGTTCACTCCCAGGCGCAGGCGCGCTAAAATTGCAGTGTAGACAGGAAATTCAGGGGGACTTTTCCGGATCCAAAAGCCGGGACGTGTGCCTGATAAACAAAAGAAAGGTTGAGATTCTGATGTTGATTATTTTTCTATTGTGCCACAAATGTTCCAAAGTGTCTTTTTAGTTGTCCCAGTCTAAATTTGAGTGGTCAGCGGCCATATTGGACCACCTTTAATTTAGAACCCTGGTAACACACGAGGCTCTTGTTTATTGGATAAACACAGAGACCATCACGGGTCGTGATTCAACCGAAATGACCGGCTAAAAACCTGCAGACTGGATATTTCGAGAGGCGCAGTTCTGGAAGAGTCAACATGGCTACCGTGCACGCCAATCACACGCGAGAGGGCAGCCTGAAGAAAGACGGGTTTAAGGTTGTCACTGCGGGAGTTTTCTGTCACAACAGGAACTATAAACCGAAAACAATCAAACTCTCATTAAAAGGTCGACGGATGGTGTCAAAATAAACATTTGGAGACGGGAGGCGGCTTGATATTTAAGAACATTTCCCACCTGTAGGTACTCTTTTAATTTAACAGTTTATACAGAAATAAGAGCCATAAAAAGGACGTGGAAAGTCACAACTACTAGTAAATCTCACCATTACAGATACTTTGAGTGGCACCAGGTTAACATTTACATAAACGTTTCCCCACCTTCCTACGTTCCTGAGATGTTGTTCTTTCAACTTGACCAGAGTTTTCTGTAGGGAGTTGATCTCTTCGTGAACTTGTAACATCTGGAAAAGAAGAACGTGTCAGAAGGTCAACATGGCGACCGTGAGTGGACATGTGCGGCAACGCGTACACACGACAAGGTTCAAACACAATAGTCTCCAACAGACTCATTCCAGGCAAATGGACCCTCTCTGGCTGGCCAGCTCCTCTGGCCAATTATATCCCCATTTTAGGCCGATTTTAACTATTTTTAGCTTGCAAAGGAGTCTGGTGGCGACTACAAACACAGCAACAAGGTGGCAAGAAATACTATTAGACATATTGTTTATTTTCTTTGATTATGTCCGTTAAGTGCCAACAAGTGTTGCCACCAGCCTTTGTCTCACCAATGTGTCTTAAACGTGAATTTGATTAGTTGCATATTCTTACACCAGTCATAGCCAACATTTACCCAGTATCAGTATCTCCCATTACAGCGAAGTACAGACTAAGTTTATGTGTAAGCAAAGGATTTGTTTCTATAAAAATATCGAGAATAATACTACTTTTGTTCTTACGTCTTAATTGCGTATCACAGAAACATGAGCGGTGTCGCTGGGTATTCATTAAAGGGAAAGACATCAGCACCAAGGCCAGGAGACGGCCAGCCGGAAAGCTTCAATTGTTGGAAGCCGGGGAGAGCTTTGGCAGAAAACTCTGAGAAAGGGTAGCCTGGAGTCCAGCCTTGTTAGCTTTACTAGTGCTGTCCCCAAGATCCGCTACCCCGCCAACAAGAGGATCAAGTGGACTTAAAGTTAAGGAAGGCTGGACTCCAGGCTAAAGCCGGGAAAGAACAACAGTGTAAAGAATAGGAGAACCCAGAAGCCCGTCTAGTGAGAGTCAAAGCAAACGTTCTTAGCACAGTTGTAACCCTTGACAGTTTATTACACCGCCGCTCACTGAGCTGAAACTGTGCGTGGAGCGGAATCAGGTTCGGCTGAAACGTAAGCTTTCAGCGTCCGCCCGTGATATAGTCCTAACAGGCGCACTCCAAATACACAGTGTGCCGCGAAGGGCCAAGGGCAGATCCGCTGCGTGTTGTTCTTGGCGCGCTGCTCGCCCTGGGGTTCCTAGAAGACATGGTTAAGGTCTTGGCGAGCTCGTCTTAAGGAGATTGAAGACGCCGAGGTGTGTCAGGGTCTGACCGCGACATGACAGACGTGAAGACAGGATTTATGTCCCAACAAAACGGACCATGTCTCACGTACCCACACATGGGTGATGACAAGCGCTCGTGAACGACATCTGTACTTTTAAACTTGACCCTCGGTCCTTTGCGTCACTTTGTAAACAGTCTATGTACATGACTTATTTTCTTAAAGGCTTGGAACATCATGCCCCGACCGGCTATGTTATGAGCTTGCAAAATCATTAAACAGAAGTCCACGTTTGAAGGACAGTGGTGTGTTTGTGTACGTTTGAGAGCTGCAGTCACTCTTTTGAAGTGGATATTTTTTCGATTCGCCAAAGACAGCATCTAATCCATGTTAGCAATGGCTTAACGTGTTTTACATAAACACTTCAGAAGTTGTGATTTCGAAAAGCTGCTTAACTTGAGCTTAGCTTTTAAGGCACCCGCGTTTATTTACCATATCAGCGTATCTTGCGTAACAGTAACCATATAAAATTGGAGAAGCGTGTTTGTAAAAAGTTACCTCTCTCAAACATACTTGAATAGGCTAGTTTGTGTCTGAAATAAATCAGACTGCAACACCACATTAAATCTGTGAAATCACCTTATAAAAACAAACTACAGAGAAAACTACCCCACGTAAATATGCTTCATTAAGGCGATGAGTCCTCCCATATCCCTGGTGATTCACCCACAGACAAACACGCCTGAGGGCAGGTATACGGCCACGCTGTCTGACCTAACCAGGCAGAGAATGACACACGTAAGCCTTGTTAACGACTTCTGCACTGCTACATACAGTAACAGTTGACACTGTGTTTAAGACTTGCCGACAGTGACAAGTTAGCCGTGAACAACCGGCGTCGACTCCAGAACAGTTCCTCATTTTGTCCCCCGCACATCGTGGGTGGTTTACCTTTGATTTTGGCATTGCACTTTGTCAACGTCACCGATAGATGTATTGCCGTTTTCTTTTACTGACGTTTAAAACTCATTACTGTCTAGCTCTATTAATGCTTATGTGGACAAAATAAATAGAACTGTGATGCCTTATTTTTCTTTTAATCCGCAGTTATTGGTCATTTTAATGTCGACTTTCTAACTCTTCACAAAGCCATTTTCTACAAAGTGAGTTTATAGACCGAAATCTATCACTTCCGCAAAATTTCACATCTGCATTCACACTCATATGTCATACAGATTTTTCAATGTCCGACGACTTTATAGTATAGAGATGCTATGACAGACCCGACCGCAGACAAGTACACATGCATCATGATCCGCAATATCCGTTCAAAGACGGTAGAATATTGTATGACACATACGAATATTGACGATTGACCCCAGACTGTCCTCAATTTCCTGTCGTAAACTTGACTACCACGCAGGTGACATAATCTCAACATACACTAGTGTAACAGCGGGTAACTGTGGACTGACGTTCAACCCAAACAAAAGCCAACCCCTGGCAGGAACATGACTGGAAGCCAAGAGTAGAGAACAGAGGGAATGTTGAAGATGAAACACGGCCGGACTACTCAACCAAACAGTTCCGCGGGGGTGGCCAACTATTTGGCAATGCATTCCGCACGTTTGCGACAAGAACGAAGGTCGCCCTTGTTTCTTTAGTGCCTGAATGTCTTACATGTTTGTCTTCGACCTTACATCATCACAGTACCTTGCCCTTTGCCATTGACAATCAGTTCTTCAGTAGGCGGAGTGCTTCCGAGTAGCCGGGTATACGGGGTTCTCATATCTTACATTGCTGCGTACTGTCCTGCACATCAATCCCTAAAATAAGGCATGTGTAGAAATATGCAGCCACATACAGTAGTCAAAGGACGTGACAAACTCCCTCCCTTTCCTATCGACTACAAAAGGCTGCAGTATCGGAGTAAATTTAATCCCAGTCAGTACACACAGGGAGACTTAAGTTCTTAATATTTGTTACATAAAACCACCCCAGACGTCCCTATATGTGGGTGGGAGTATGAGTGACATGAACTTGAGAACATTCCTGCAAGCCTTGTGGGCAAAGATTTTTCAAAGTTTTTCAGAGATGTAACGATATATGTTCTTGCGCAAAAAAAACAGTTACTCAAGCAACTGGATATGATTTTAGAAACGGTAAGACGTTTTAGGGTAGCATCCACTACCTTTCGTCAGTGACACTATATACACTCTTGGTATATGCAATTACTTCGTATTTGCTGGTGCTAAGAGTGTATAAGTATGCATAATATTCGACACTTACATTTGCATAGCCTTGTGAAATTATAAGTGTCAATATAGAAATATTTCAAGTTGGAACAAACTCAGCAGATTCCTGGCCTTCACGTAGCAGTGCCAATATCAGGACCTTCGGCGATATTAGACCCTGATGAAAGCAGGGTTTCTCAAGGATGAGGGGGCGGTACTCCGGGCACAGGGCCTTACGAGGGGTAAAGCCTTAGGGAAGTATCCTTTTAAAATTGGCAGAAAACAACTTAATGTAAAGCTTGATCGAAAGCCTTCGGTCAGTTTCCAACCGATAGTCAGTATAGTCTAACCGAGAATAGTATACAGAACCGTCGGACAGCTTGCAGTTAGACTAATCTTCAAGCAGATGTACATGTATGGCCCTGGCTCGTTTCGTTCGTCTTTTGTTTGGTAAGTAGTGATCATTTTTCCCTGTTTGAGAGGGGTACACAAAACACTCACCACTATGAAGCCATATAAACCACCACACAAAAACGATGTGCAAGGATACCACCACCGGCACAATACATCTGCTTGTAGATTTCAGCCAGACCCCTCTGACACGACATGACTGTTCCTGAGCTGAGGTCAAGGGCACCCGGACTGGTGACTCGTACCAGGCGATGCACACGTCACCCTTTATCTCACTCAGGTACAGGAAAGGTGCCGATTACTGTCGTCTGACACATCCTTGGACATTGTTGTGGGCCGGAGGACATTCATAGCCTCCACCAGACTCCTTTGCAGGCTGAGTAAATAGTAGAAATCGGGCTAAAAACTTTTAAAAAGGATGTAATTGGCCAAGGGGAGTTGGCCGGCTATAGAGTGCCCAATTTGCATGCACGGCCAGTTACATCTCTTTTTAGGCCGATTTCTACTTTAGTTTTATTCAGCCTGCAAAGAAGTCTGGTGGAGACTTGGAAGTACAGATGTTGTAGTGGCGTAGTCTCCACCACCAGGCTACGTGGTGGCTCAACGTAGTTGCCTAAGTTGGACAAATAGTGATTGATTTGCAAAGGGAGTTTTCATCTGGAGTAAGTCCAGTTGGGCACCAGGAAATGGACTTTTCTGGTCGGCTAACTCTAACCCTTCATCTGGCAAACAAACCAACGTGTCTCGCCAAGTCTGTGCCATTTCGCAGCCACCGCTGGAGTTTGGTAGATCCCTGAAGGTAACACACTGGAAAATCGTCCTTCTTTGCAACTCGAGAAAGGCCTTGCTTACAGGAAAGCCTCAACTGACAGTTTTAAATGATAAACTGGAAGGACCATGACATAGATCCAGGTCAAAGGCACTAAATAAAAACCATAGACACGCGGAGTCCCAAAGGGCCCGTGTGCAAGGCTATCTCCGGGACCGGTCCTGCGCTCGGCTGGGTCCTGCATGACGAAGTCAGACAGATGTTCCCCCGGTGAAGGGTCTGTCTTCCCGGTTTCCTTCCGACTCTCACCGCTGGCCATACAAGTAACAACCTCCACTCTACCCTCGGGGACAATCTCGTAAGGTCGATGATTTCCCCCGAGAGAAATTACTTTCATACGAAGAAAGAAGGCTTTTCTCAAACCTTGGAGAGTATTAAGGGTGACAGAAACCACCTTGCAATGGCATAAAACCCTGAGGCGATTTTTTGGCGTTTACCTAGTTTTACAATAC